AGAAGGACGTGGAAGAAAACTCAAAATCCAGAAGGCAGCCAGGGTTGCTGGTCGGCTCAAGACCACCACGACGGTCCCTGGTCACCCTTCAGGTCAGGAACTGAATTTACCCCCAGGCTCAGCTTCCAGCCCAACAGGAAGGGGATTCTAACACTAGAGATGTGTACACATGTGAGAACAATCAGCCACTGGAGACCAGGCAGGCAGCATTTACCCCAGGACACTGTGCAGACGGCTCAGGAGAAGAGGAGGAGAGAGACAGGAAATCAGGGCTGAGGTGGTGGTGGGGGGATGATGTTCCATGGGAGGCGGGAGTGATTTGAAAGAATGTGTGTGAATCATTGACTGTAAAATTGATGATCTGCTCTGTGAACCTTCACGCAATAAAAAGTTCATCAATTTTTTTTCTTTTTAATTTACAGCTGTGGAAACACTGTGAGCGGTTGTTCTCCTCTGACCCAGAGGTCATGCTGAGTCTGAATGGAGGGCAGCGGGTTCTCACTCTGTGCCGGGCAGTGTGGATGCCGCCAAGGAGATGGCCATGCACAGGACTGGTGGGCATCTGTCCTCCAGCTTCTTTCCTTTGGCCCCCATGGAAGGAGGGGCCCATGCAGGAGAAAGGGGGAGAGTGAACCCCAGACGAGGGACCAGGAGCAGCAGCCACGTGCAGGAGGCTGCATGGCGTCTTGCTTGCTGGTGGAACGGAGAGAAGTCTGGTGCCACCTTCCCCCAGCCTGGCGAAGAGGGCTGCTCCCAGAGGGGACTTGAGCTTCCTCCTTGCTTCCGCCACTCATGGCTTTTGGGTGGGTGTCCTCTAAGTGGGGCTGTGGGCACAACCCAGGATGCAGACACTTCATCTGCAGGCCCCTTGTGAACTTTAAATGTTTTCATGCTACCTGGTTTCCCAACCACCTGTCTTTCCCACCCCCTGGCTTAGAAACCTCAGAGGGCTTAGAAACCCTTTGAACAATCAATGAACACAAACTCTGAGCTCTCCAGTTCTACTCTGTCCTACAGCCTTACCATCACCCTGCTGGGCTCAGTCTCATATTCAAGATCAGCAGACTTCCAGGTTCAAACTCCTTCCTACCTGGCCTCTCCCCAGCGATTCTGCCGAGAGCTTCAGCCACCATGAGCTTTTCCTGGTCACTCGGAAGAACAATGTTTTCACCTCCAGGACTCTGTCCAGGCTGGTCTTTCAGAAAGTACTGTCCATCTAAAGTCTCCTCCTAACCTGGTGAACCCCTATGTCTGGCTTCCGTCTTCCTGTTATCCCCACAAGGAGGCCTCTCTTAATCCTCCCATGTCCCCCCGGAATTGTCAGTCCCGTTGTTTTCTCCTCCAGATTGTTCATCTAGCCTATTTTATTTAGGCAGACCTGCGGAGATAATAACATGCACAAAAACAAGACAGAGCAAAACAAAGCAACAAAAGAAAACAAAACAACAAAAAGTCAATGACAAAAAACCACCAAACACCCACACAACACATCAACAACCAAAAAAGAAAAGCTTTCAGTTAGTTCAAAGACTGTTTGTTGGCCTTTAGGAGTGTTTTACAGTCCATTCTGATGGGGTGCCAAGCCCTGGTCCCAAAGTCTATTTTTTGTATTCCCTGGGGACTTCCTTGCTCTGTTCCCCTTGCTGTTCTGTTCCACGTCCTTAGTGTTTTGCTTCGGTGTGGTGGGGTCAGATCGGGCGCAATTCCCACACTGTGTCTCGTGTTGTCCCTTGTAGGGCTACAGGTCAGTGAGGGATGTCGTGTCTCATAGTGGGACCGGCCATATGGTCTTCTCTGTGCATTGGCTGCTCTGAGCTGGGATATCGTTGTCAAGGCTTGGTGGGCCAGAATGTGCTCCACTCTCTCTTCCTCCCAC